GTTGAGACATACGGGGTACGTGATCCACGCCAATTAGGATGGAACAATGTTTACTTTAGTTAAAGTGTTAAACTTTTACAAATTCATAGAATGATCTCCTAGTCAATGACGTTGTCATGAACACACATTGTTAACCTACGGGAGGTTTAGCTCCGCACAAACACAAACTAGACATGCAGGGAGAATGTTCCAAGGCTGATTCGTTTGAAGCGCGAAGATTTTGGTGACATTCTTAATGAACAGATCGCGCGATCAACTTCATCTGGTAACCCCAAGGCTGGCATATTGCCTAATGTCTTGGGCGGTATCTGCAAAACTTGACTCAGGTTTTTCATCATTAGCATGGCGATCACTCACGCAAGACTGATTCGTGAATCCCTTCATCTATTGTACCTTTATACAATACAATTACATAGTCATGAATAAAGGAGGGAGACAGGAAATGAGGGCAACACTACTGTTATTATGCCACGCTTGTTATTACGAAGTAATGTGGAAATGATGGCTAGAACTGGAGGCCAAGTAGAAGGAGAAGGGACAAAGAAACACACTTTGTGAATGCTACTGAGCTCAGCTGGTCTCTATGTCAACACACGTCCCACAGCAAAAGTGCTCATCGTTTTCCGGACCCAAAACGGGATGTCTTGAGGCCGCAACTGAGACCTACCTCCAAGTGCTCAATCCACTTGATGACTAAGATGGGTTGGTATCTCGTGCCCTTTTTTCACTCAGACCTTGCTCTAGCAAAACAACGTAAGTGGCGCTGAGATTTCTTGTGTGAAACAACGGGGCTGAGTGACGCACTCGATCTTCCTGTAACTGACTTTTATACGGTATTGACAGAGAAACGCAGTGAAGATAACATGTTTTACACAAGAATTGTTGCATTGCATACAGACAGACAAAGCTTGAACTATAGTGATCGCCCAGATATGGAAATAATTACGAGATGTGAGTTGAAGCGTAAGGAGATTGGGTGTTGAGCAAAACCAGGCAGATTTCCTACAACTAAAATGCGCCTGTCCATAATGCCTTATCTGTGGAGCAGTTTTCTCTAATAAATACTTCACCATGCTTAAGCATATATTTATTCACCTTGCCTCTCGCCATGCGTATTCCACCTCATATTAAAGATATAGTCGGTGCACAATAAGTCGAAGACAACGATAGTGGACTTGAAAGAATAAACGACGGATGTCCTAGACAGTCTTACAGAACATGACTTAGGGAATTGATCCGAAAGTTGACAGAAGCGCTTGCAGCTGCATGTCAACTCCGAAAGGAACTAGTTTGAAGGTGACCGTTGTTCAATTTTTGGAGTTTGTTAAGTCGAAGGAATTACAGATAAAGCGTTGACTTTTTCTGTGCGCGACACTTAATTTGCGGAGTGCTCTACTAAATTGCACAAAGCGAAGATGTGCTCAATGCAGTATCGATTTCAATGAAGCCTGGATTTCGCGAACGTCATTAAGCATGCACAAAACGACAGAAGCGAGTAACTTGGCGGCGACATAAATCAGAATGCGCCATGGTTATTGCATTCCAGACGTCAGCTTCCTTAAACTTCTGGGCTGAAAAGGAGTAGATACGGTGGTTAAAATGTTTTCCTGCTCCCACAGTTTCACTACTAAACCTGGCACATCGTCCCCACCAGTAGGTTCCTCGTATTTGTAGAGAGATGCAGCAAGTTCATCTATTTTCGCGAATTTATTCGTTCGCTGCAGTTCAAACTGACGTTCGACTTCTGTGCTAGAAGGCGGATCCCAACGGAAAGTTCAGGGAGCACAGCGATTAACGGCCGGAGAGGGAGCGCCCAAATGCGGACGATTAGCTTGCCAAATGCCCTAGGTGCTTTGGCTGCTTATGATTATACTGCCCACTCTAGTCGCATGCAGTTTGGCTAACAACAGATCTCCTGCTGACTGTTTCTTGTATCCTACGGAATGAATTCCGATGACTACCAAGGACAGTGGTCGTTTCCATCTCCGATGCACGCTCACACCATGTAAGTTCATCACACAGTGTTTGCCACTAGACACTCCATTACCACTTTGAGGGTGCATGAGAAACCTGTATAGGCTTCATAGTCTTGGTTCTAAACACCGCAGTTCCGCTGATCAGCCGTCTCGGAGCGTATGGCTTGTCGACACTGCGTCTAGTCAAGTTTGACTTCGGGGCGGACACACAGGGAGATAGAACGAAGACGGGAAGATAATCTAATTCTAGTTGATGCTTGCAGTCTTGTCGGGAAGAGTTATCGGACCCGCAGTAATATGGATGTTTGAATGCTTTTTTGTTTGTAGCTCAGTCAAAGTTTAGCGGTACTTCTGAGTTCTTTTCCTCAATTCGCCGACACTTGACTAATCCATCTGGATAATGGAGTTCTTATGCATTCGTTTTGAATCGTCATTAATATTGTTAATATTAGTATTGTTTTGGTAATCTGCTCCACTTCACTTTGTCACAAGGATCAAAATTGACAAACTAATACCGATCAAACTTAACATGATGCTACTATATTAATGAGAAACTGGGTAGTCTTCCTCTATCGTATCGATCAGACAACGTCAGAGTGTCATCTGCACCTGTAAAATTGTATGCCGCCGCTTTACGCAACAACTGCGCACCTTGTACTTTCCCCAAGGTAGAGTTTACGGATCAGATGAAACAAGTCTTACACGGCTGCCTTTAGCACCAAAGTAAACTAGACTTCTTTCCCTGCCTAACATTGTCCTATTTGCGCTAGATAAATGGCTAACCATATAATGAACTGATACGGTCGCGCAGCTAAACTGAAATCACCGCACAGCCAATCACCCGTGATTCGCTCTTGCTACCCAAAATTCCTTATTTGATCTATCATCAAGTGATGATGGCCGTTATAGTAAACCGTTTTGTAAGCAAGCAGATTATATGCCACCAGTTTCAACTACAATAGGAAAGCTTTTTATGCAAGTCCACTGCTACTGCCGAACACCATGGAAATGAACCCTGAGGACTACAGCTCTGTCTTTTGTCACTCATCTCAGGTTTGTCAAGATATAAACACCTTTCAGTTTGCCCCCTTTATGTTGGTACTGGCATCCAGAGGGTTGTATCAAGTACTTGCGCTATTTAGCTTCATTCCATACCACCTTTATGAGATGGACGGATTTATTCTTTGGGACCATACGTAGGGGCGATGCCCCCATACTGCTGAATGGACGTATTATGCCCAATTATAACATACGGTAGAAATCCGCCTACGCTACGTAAAGCTTATTAGGCGCAAATCGTCGCAGTCGATGGAAAACTGGACTACCTGCTGGCATTATCCTGTGAACGATCTCGTGATTGATATCACCAGGTTGATATCCGGGCTTCGTTATCTAGTGAATTCTCGTAACGGATCCTAATACATTGGAAGATCTTGAGGTGGGACAACCTACAGACTCATAGATATAGTGGAACTATTTAAGCCAGCCCATGCTAATTGCATCAGGCCATCGATAATCTGGCAACATTTGCGATCTATGATAATGCCGTGATGCTGGAAGAAACCCAGGCTTAGGCTTGCAGTTGACATTTTAGCCACAGTGAAAATCCAAGAAAAAAGCTTACGGAGACAAAGGTTTAGCGTGATAGAACCTTCTCCATAGGATCGTATTGGCGTGCCGTTCATTGCCTGCAGGCTATATACCGAGCAGTGCTTCACGTCCTCCGGACGTGGGAGAACCACACTGACTTGAGCACCCAGTGTCTACGACGAATCCCATTCCAGGACTCGCGTTCCGCAAGTAAAAGAAGCGACTTGAATCACATATTCCAGCATGCGTCTTTGCCAGTAGGAGCTGGCGCGTTCGTTTCCCGAGTTGTAAAATCAACACGGCTTTATGCATTTTTCATCCCTGTTACAGAAGCTCCGGTGGTACCAGCAAATGCCACGGAAACGACTAACACTCATAGTACGCCGTTGGTTAGACCGAGACTTGCTCCTGAGTCTGACGATGGCAATGGAAGCCAGTTGTTCTTGCAGGGAGTGCGCTGGTTTAAGAGAGGGTCACCGGATGCATGAGACGATACAGTTGAGATCGTTGAGATCTCCATTATTTTTTCAGAAATAAGGGCTGTCTTTCAGTTCTCTATCAGGATGAGGGTTAGTCAATATCTGTTGTACGTATGTAAGGAACCATTGCATACATAACTGCTTAAAGAGAGAATTCTCTGGAGGGTTATCAACTACTAGAGCTTGTGTGGCTCGAAATAGTTGCGTAGGGGTGAGATCGCCTAATTACATCTCATTGAGTAGGTGTTGCATGAAAGCTAAGCTCGCGAAATAACAACTCCCTTGGTTCTTGGTACGTAGGGCTTATCTTCAGGATGTCCTGCGCCAGTAGCAATAATTCTGATGTGTGGGGAAATTACATGATGAACCTGTAAGGCATCCTTATGTATGGGAGTAATATCAAAAAATGATTTGGCCTGTAGAAACCAAAAGCTGGGGATATTGTATACACACGGTTGGTAAACAACTAGTAGATACGGTGTTAATTTCCCCTGGTTGCTGGTCAGTCATATTCGCATACATGAAATTGTAAAAAAATGACGAAAGTGGATATGAGTCACCGGATGATTATAGACAAAGTACGAAACACCAAGCTCACGTCGGGTTAACCACTTTATAAGAGCGCTTCTTAGGTGCGGATTTCGGAATTAACGCCCCGTCGTTCCCGGATGCCAAACGGAAGTAAAATCATGTATTCCCTCTGTTGTATTTCGATGCTTCCATATATTATGCACGGATCAACTTTCTCCTTATGCACGTTAGCTAGAGTAGTAAAACACCTGAGCTACTGGGTCGGAATACAAAAAGGAAAAAATACAACTGTTGAATACCATCTTAGCTACCGGCAACCGATGCGCATCGGTCCGGAAAGCTCTCATCCGGCTACTAGGCAACAAAAATTACTAAGTAACTTTATAGTAACATTATAGTATGCTACGAAATGTGATGGTGTTTGGAGGTAGAAGCTAAGAGGGATGGGGCGGGACAAAAAAGCTCGCAGCACGAACGCCACTGAGGTCGGCTCCTAGCAATGTCAGCAATTGTATCCAGCCAAACGTGTGCATCCTTTTCTGGACCCCAACCAGGGAGCCATGACACTGCAACGGAGGTCAGCTTCGAAGTGAGGGCCTTCATGACTTTCGACCAAGTTATCGCTTGGCCACCTCTTTTATGATGCACGGAAGAAGAGAGAAAAGCCTGGGAAGGCGATCTGCTGTTGATGTTGTTGCAACTTAATTGTTAATTATTCAAGGTTGGTATTGTTTGTGTTTTTCCTGGACTTTTGTAAGATGGTCGATGCAGCTGGTGAAAATGTCACCTGAATAAGGGTAATTTCCTAACGAAGCATATGCGTCAAAATGTAAAATAGGTGTTCTATAATCTTCGTGCGTAGGCGTGAAGATTGTAAACCCAATACATCTATGTCTGTGAAACGGTGGGCTACGTATGTTGGCCTTGGAATTTGTAAAGGACAGAAATTTTGAGTAGTAAGACTATTCTGCCACCATAATATTGTATTGGTCTAAAGAACATCGATTGGCAAAAGGAATACGAGCAGTTCGGATTAGAGATTGAAGTAATGACAGGTTCTTCGAGCTGAGCAATCTGATTGCAGATATTTCGCCACAAATCGAGACAGCATCTTCATTGCTCAATAGGAAGTAGCATGTTAGCAAGTACTGAGCTTCAAGTAAATCTAGTGAAGAATGTTGTTGCCTATGAGTTGTTTTCTAAACATTGCAAGTGTTTGTATTCTTACTTACTTCGGATTGGTTACCTAGCTGAGCAATCTGGGACACGATCGATCTCCACTGTCTGGCGTGAAGCTCGCTATGACATTAGATGGCTTTATGCAATTTCCTTAGTGCAATGGCCTTGTTGTCTTCAGAACATGGTTACAGCGGCTGTTCTATTTGTTATTCAGTCGTTGGTCCCCACCCATTTGTGCTCAACTCTTCGTGCTGCTCGTCGTTGGGGGGAATTGATATATGCGCTTACCTCCAATGGCAGCTAATATTCTTTCTCTACGAATGGTTACGAAATGACATGCTGCCGCGAAGTCCCAACTACAAGAGACCTATCAAACATCCGCAAGCTTGTGCCGTCACAAGAGAATTTGGAAGGCGGATGGTACGGTTGATGATCGCTGACGCCCACAGTTGAATAAAGAAATATGGCGGATGCCTTACTGAACACCGATCTAACTGCCTACGAATTGTAGACCAACAAAGAACAAAACGGCTTAGCCTAACGATAGATTGCAGAGCAGCAAAGACAAAAGCGAAATAGCAGGCTATCTTACAAAACATACTAACTTATTCAACCACAAATGTCGAGCTATTAATGATTGCTAATACAATTGTTGATCCAACCGGCCACTCAGTGTCTTACAATCCAAAGGCACTGATGAAGAGACCAAAATGCAAATAAGGCGTGCCGTCGTCCCTATTCTGAAACACAACAAACAATGCAATTCCCTGTCACAACCTTGGAAGAAGACCATAAAAACCCTGAAAAGCAGCGAAACCATCGTGAGCTTGTCCACAGACAAACTATATGTGAATGTTTTAATTTTATTGAATAAGAAAGTAATCTCCTGCACGACACAACCTGCCGTGGCATGAACAAGTAGTCATCGGTCCAGTTAACGAGTAAAGTGTATCGAACCCTGAGAATGCTTTGGGAATCGAACCAACTCACAAAGGAATGGCACGAGGGAATGAAGGCTCGCGAATCAAACATCGCACAATGTTACGGACTTCCGAAGATACATCAGAAAGGTTCACAGCTACGATCAATCTTGTCACTACTGGGTACTCCAACTTACAACTTGGATAAAGAGTTTTGAAAGTACCTTAAATATTCAACCAACGGCTCGCAGTACTCAATAAACAATGCTCAAACATTTAGGAACAGATCATGAGAGAGTAGTGTCGTTCTTCAACCTCACTGTCTCGCTCATTTCTGTCAACTTATAAGTGGCCAAAGAAAGCCTCAGAGTACGCCTTAACTGCGACGAACAAACCACTGGGAATTCGACGAACGAAAGCAATGGTGACCTTCCAGACCGATACTTTTACAGGTTCTTCAAATTCTATGGAGTATTTTGCGAGCAAGTGAAGGGAGCCTCAATGGGATCCTCCATGTCTGCACACTGGCGATGGTCCTCGTTGGAAGATAATCTACTTCAAATCATTGATCCGAAAGTATGGGTTCCATGCTTTTACGATACCTTTGTATCACTCAGACGCAAAACTTGCAAAAGGTACAACTTTTGCTAAACAATGTAATGGACAGCGCCCATTTCACCATGCGATCAGAGATGGAATACCGAATCACCTAATTAGACGCCTTGGTATCCAAATTAGGGAGAGAAGTAGCACACACTTCGGCTTACAGAAGAGACAATCACTGACCAAATCTCGAAATTCAACAGCAGTTGTCCGAAATGCTACAAGCTAACCTGCCCACGAAATTGCTTCTGAAGAACCAAACCACACAGCAGTTGTACGGAAGCAAAATTGAAAAAGCATCTGCTTTTGTCTCTCAGGCACAACGAGTACCCAAGCAGTTTCTTCTGAAATGGCATCAATCCCAGAACTACCAATGCCACAACTGCAACGACAATATAACAGATTGCTTTTCCGTATGGTTAGAATGACTCAGAACTGACTGCCGGACTCCTAAAACCGCAGCACCTAATGGTTGCTCACAAACCAACAAACGGAAAAGCAGAGGCGCATGAGCAACGCAATAATGCATTTAGCTTTGCGTGTCCAAACTGTATGAAAACTATGTGGACCATACAGGTCGAAAATTGACTACGAGAATGCAAGAGCACAAATGTGCCTACAAAATCCCTTATGCATCATTGTTGATTTCGATGCAAGTTGATGAATGAGGACACAGCTTTGATTGGATCAGAACTGAGGTTATGACACATGAAGGTATGAAAAAAGGAATCTTTGTAAGCTTAATTTTCAACAGAGAATTCGTTTAACATTAGCACTGGTCTGTATATATATATATATATATATATATATATATATATATATACCACAATCTGTGTTGCAGAGATTGTGCCATCGGAATGGTAGCGGAGTAGGCCAAAAGGATCAGAATAAGAGAAAAGCAGCCACCAGATTGCCCAAATTTTCACTCACAGTTTTCGAGTCTTAGGTTGTTTTATTGGTGTATGGAAAGGGAGTAACCGTAACAAGTGGAGATACACATCCACCGCTGAGGCCGGTCTTGAGCTATGACTTCCAGGTTCTCCAATCAGAGACACACCGCATCTCTTGGACACCAACTGGGGAGTCGAGAACAACCGACTGGAGCCAACTGTATCGTCAAGCTCTTGCATGCCGTTTAACATGCCGCCTCCTCCAGCCCTGTACAGTAAGTGTGAACAACGCACGACGCTGAACGGACATGCAGGATACGTGACAAAGCTATCGTAACTGGTGCAGCTAGACGAGCTCTTCGAGTGAGTGGCTGCCACCACCAGAGACGCGCTGTCCAACTTCTACATTGGTTACGTGTTGGAGTCATCACACGCAGGAGATGGACCGCAAGCGACGGTGCTCAAAGACCGACAGCCGGCGCATGTCACGGTACGTACAGATCAAGTCTCGCAACCGTGTAACAGCACTGTCGCGGACTGTCGTGTAATGAACCCGCCCTTTGATGGTGAGGCGGATATCATGGGGCGCCACATGTGCATCAGTCTAGAAAACGTGAGGACCTCTTAAGATATGCATCGAACTTTTATCTCTAACAGCCCCACAAACAGTGATACAACTTCCGGTAGACAAAGATATTCACGAGCTCCAGTGTTCCACCACCAAGTGAGTGCAAGTGCGGTCATCTACCAGTACGGAAAAAAGTTTGGCACTTGGATGGGGAAAAGTGTGTACCGACCTTTGACGCTTCAGTTGTCAGGTGGTTAAGTGCAGTTAGAATGGTCTGTGGACCGCCACATATCAAGAAGATGTCGTCAGCGTAGTCCACGCCAACTACTAGACGGCTTGGGATGAGGTCAACGCCATCGTTTAACGAGTCTTCCAGAGCATTTTTGAGGACATCCTCAGTGGCGAAGTTGAAAAAGTATGGGAAGATAAGGCATCCTAGTCGAACCCATTGTTAACAACAAAGGAAAGCAAACGTTTGCCATAAGCTCTACTTGTACCCTAGATCAGATTGCACATAGTACGCAGTACAGAAACGAACTTCCCGGAGACGTTATTCCTTAGCAAACAGTGTCACAATTCAGTCCTGTCGACAGAAGTGTAGGCAAAATAGAAATCCAGGAAAAAAGCTTTGGCTTTTGCTACACATGGCGGAGCTCGGGGATCTGACTGTTTGAAAATTTGAGCGATGCTACTGCGACTAGTTCGAAACTCAGCCCGTTCTTCCGGCTCTAGCAGGTTCGCTCATTAGGGGTATCCTGCGAATTGCAGTGGACACTAGAAGTTTTCAAAAGACGGGAACCAAAAATATACCGCTGTAGAGGAGAGTTTCAGCGTTGCTGGCTCCCAGCACTCTACTCCACGACTAGCCGGTTTCGTCCTGCTTTGGACTCGTCGAGGAGAGATAGCGTAGCTGGGAGTGGAACTCGGCACATAGCGGTTGGCAACTAGTGCCATGGTCATTAGTCCATTTGGCTCCTCGAAAAGTGCTTGACGTAACGGTTAAATGTTGTTAGACTTGGGGTGTTGGAGTATCCACCATGTGTCTTAGAGCGCGACACGCAATCTTAGTTGTGGCGTCGGTTTCCTTTGAAGTCAGCATCTGCCACTACGGTCGCTGGGACCGTCACCGGAGTGGAGGATTTTGGCGTTGCTCTCCCCCATCACTGCACTCCACGACTGATCGGTTTCTCCTTGGTTTGGGCTCATCAGGTAGACATAATCTAATCTGCGAGTTGCAGCACATTGAGCGCAGGCCCTTATGAAATTCGAGCAACAATCGACTAATCCCAAGACGATGGAACCCCTGCTTTTGACTGTACTTCTTAGAACAAAGTCGAGGCTTCCCGAGGCAGCGAATAGCCGCCAACTTAAATGGAGCAGGAGGTAATCCATCGAGCCGGTTGCTTCATGACGTTCCAATAGACTGAGACTTTGCCAGCTTTCCTGGTGTAAAGGAAGATCTGCGGGAACTGACCATACCCGTCTTGTGGAGGAACGCCGAAGATCATGTATTTGTTGCGCATTGACTCTAATCGGGTATATTGGCAGCTCCGAAATAAATGAATAAACGGATTGGTATTGGCGTGAATGTAATAGGATCAGCCAGTGAACAACAAAAGGGACAAGCGCTGCAAGTGTATTCTTCAAGAAACATAAATAACTAAATAAATTTTTTGTTCTCAACAAAGTGAGACAAGGCTGCCTATGCATGATCATGGTGACACAGCCGTTAGGTATGGGTAAGTCAACAAAATGGTACAAGTTGATTTTCAGGGTTTGGAGCACTTGCTGTGATAGTTGGTTTGTGGCACACGATCTAAATTTTGGCCTCGATTGTATTTGAAGTCAGCTTCTGCCAATAAGATTACTGGAACATTCACTGAAACGGTACAACTGTTTCCATAGCATATAGATCCATTAGTTATGTGTATGTGAATGTATGCAAGTATGCTGGTGTGTGGCTATGTTGCTTGAATTCTACTAAGGTTTAGTGGGGATTCGGTATGGTTAGAGATAGTTCATCCCGGTCGACTACCAGTCAGCAGACTTAGGCTGAACTAGCAATGCACCGGTGTTTCGCCCTTCTGAATCTCGTCAGTGGTGCACCTTCCGGGTTCCAACCCCATAACTTCCGGATGCCGGCAGATAGTGCCACTTCGTCATGAGTGCCAGCCGCGGACCTGCATGATTGACAATGGACTATGATATAGCCCGGCTCATCTTTCACTGCCACGTTAGTTACGAACTGTGCTTGAATTTGCAAATGGGCCACTGTATTTGCGATTCTTTTCGGTCGGGTCGTCAGCGTGATAAGGGGTGAAGGGCAACCTTCTTCTTGAATGACTGAGAGCCTTGGATTGGGCATGGTCATCAGGATACGTAGCAGGCGGTGACTATAGTCAATGGTGAGTCACATTCGCCATGTCGCAGTATTGCTAAACATATATTTGTGGCTTTGTATGAGGAGAACGCTTGCCAGACAAAAGCCCGCCACGTTCTGGAACACTGCCGCCGAACCATTTGCTGGAACGGTATTAAATCGAACCACCCAGCTTGCATCAAGCGAAGGTTGTTTGGCGAAGCACTGCATCAATGAAATTACAAGGAGCCATCCAACGTCGCACAGTGCTTCATGCCAGACAATGGAGATCGATCTTGTATCCGTGCGAGGCATAAATACGTACACCTGAAAGCCTATAAAAACAGCCTCATAGTCGACGATATTCTCCACTGGCTTTACTTGAAGCTTAGTACCAGCTAACAAGCTGCTTGCTATTACCCCATGAAGATGCCACCTCGATTGGTGACAAAGCGCCTGCAATCAAATCGCTTAGGGTAAGAAGCAATCAATAGCTGTGTTAAGTGTTATTTGCGTAATAGGTAAGAGTATCTTCAATATGTAGAGGAATCGTCCTTATAACTATGTTGTAAATGCATCCTATTGCAAGGACAAAGAGGGCAACATCAACCGTAAATGCATAGGTGGCTAGCAGAAAATCTCAGGTTTTGAGAAATTCACAAATCTATGTCATTCAATGAATCTCTAGAAACAAGATAGTTTTCTACATAAGTAAAGTTTTCAACCGCTCCCGACAAAAATTGATAGTTGTCAGCAAGTCCGAAATGAGCCGTGAAGAGTAAACGAAGGATCAATGCTTGCAGTTGACTATAGTTTACGTCATATGACACGCTGATCCAGCTCTCCTAGCTGCTGTTGATCAACGCAAACATCAGCCTCAGTTGTCTCCACAAATCATAGCATGGCATGTTGAGTTATAGGTATGTGAAATTGTGGTAATATAATCTACTTGTAAGCTGTATACCTTGAGTCCTGTCTCCGGCTTGTGTACGAGCACGGATGTCCCTGCTGAATACTACACCGTGATTAAAGCTGTTTCTAGGCCTAGTACGGCAAGGCATTGTTCTGACGTACTGCGGAGACGTCACTGACACCAAACGGATTGAAAAATTGCGACAAATCCAAGTCAAGATACAGCTTCTTTTCAAAGCATGAAACTTTTATGCTCACACTGCATCCGGACGTTCGTATGTATAACTGTATGCCACGCTGTTGTTCCCTATACTGAGGCTGAGATTGCATTCATGATGCTTCCTCACCGCAGTTGGGCTAAACCAAGTTACAGTTAAATTACGTAGTTTTAAGCCGGATAAATTTCATTCCACTTTATTTGCTGAATAATCTTCTATTCACTGGCCAAGTTACTTATGCTAATTGTGGTTATCTTCGTTAACTTTATTGCGTTTGTAGCTTTTTTTGTAACTTGTGAACATTTTGTACTTATCGCGGCTCCCTTGCTAACCAGCTTACTTCATTTGCTAGTTTAGGGAAGAGTTATGTCTGCATAGTGGTCCGTTTTAACAGAAATGCTTTCTTAATAATGTTATTTCAAATGGCTGGCTGTTGCTTGCTATCCCCGTTGTGGCTGCGCTTGATGTGCCTGTTGACAAGGTGCCCACCTATCTATTACCGACTACTTCGGCCATGCTGCCTACAAGAGGCAGTTGGTTATTGCTAGAGGAGACGAGGTGCACGGTCCTTGTGGGCGTGTTAGGCTCGAAGGGTAGTTCCGTACACTCAGTGTGGAGCGGACTACGGTCCAGCCACCGCCTTGTGGGCACTTGATTCCCCAAATACAGCGTGCTTGTGTTTGTCTGTGAAGGAGTGTGGGCTGGCTCCGTTGATAAAACGTGGCTCCCATCCACATGCCTCCCGGTCTTATTCCTTCCGATTCACACTGGATATGGGATGTGTGTTTGGAGCTGTGAGTGGTGCAGCGCAAGTCATCTATGGTCCCTCTGTAGGCGCAGGCGTCCTGTGGCTGGCCACAATGACAGGCAAATCAGAAACCGGATGCCGCCAATCATGGTATGCTATCAAAGCGACACAACCAAGGTCGTATGCGAAACAAATCACCGAACACAGTAGTTCATTACAGCTAAAGTTCATCGCTGCTGTCTACAAGTCGTTAGCTGGCCAAATAAAGGTGATTTATCTCGGCGACTCGGTTATCCATTTCCGAAATGGTACTTTTTGAAATCAGTGAAAACTGAGTTCAGATCCATTTTTGAACCTCTGATTAAAGAAAGCAACTCAGCAACATTGTCACACTATTTAGCAATAGTAATCTTAATCACGTGGCTTCATCCCATTATGCTCGGTTATCACATATTCGAAGGTTAAGTCATGGTTTCTCCCAGATATTTGAAGGTGGTTTCATAATGGCGATGCGCACTTTCTATTTGTTCATGTGGTCAACGTGTTCGAACTTGGCTCTGGGGGAATGTCGTGGGAGATTACCCCTGTATGTGTACAATCATGCTGAACATATAGCACAGGGTGCCTATTTGAATACCAAATGCTCTCCTTAGTTAAAGCCGTATCGCCAGATATACATCACAATACGCAGTGTTTAAACCTACGTAATTTCATTTGTTTGATAATGTTTCTGCTAACCTAGATTTACCTGAGACTGCATTTGCAAACCGATGTGAGTATACAACTTCACACAAATTGAAATTTGTCATTACAATTTGCCCAGTAATGTAGGCCACTTTTGCTTACTGGATAGCAAAGTGTGATGAGCTTTTAGTCATTTCTATCTGACATCTAATTTTATCAACTGCCCTTATCTTCACCTCTACCTCGTATCACAATTGCAGAATTTTCTAAACAATCTGGTCACTGATGTTCCTGTGTTTATCGGCCGACTTGGTCTCCTGTTTCAAATGTCCACCGTATATCCAATGCTGGTGTACATCATCCGGGCGCAGATTATGCATGCCATTTTCAATAAAGTATACCCAAGGTGAGTGTAACACCCGGCAATACCTGCGTTGTATAACACTAATAGGATATTTCTTAGCTTAGCAACTATGTGACCACTAAACTAGCAACTTAACCTTCTTGCGGATGTTAATTCCGTTTGGATATAACAATTCACTCAACTATTCCCCTAGGACCACTTGCATAAACCGTAACCCAAGAGTTCTAGCGGGATGCATCCAAAAGTTTGACCTGGAAGAGATGAGTTGTGGCTCCGAAATTAATTTACTTGTCTTCTTGAAGAAATCACTCCGCGTAAGGTATTCGTCGGGTGTTCCTTACTCAGGACTGGCAGAATGCCACTTGCCTGCGTTTATATAGGCTATAAATGCTGTCATTGACAATTGCTACATATACTTATAAAAACGATTTGTGACGAAGCCTGTTCTTCAAATAGTTATGTCGGCCAGTGACCGGAAGGATTGTATGCCTCCTGTGTAATCCGGTAGTTGGCGTTTGGAATCCGCATGGGTACAGACGACCTCACGATTCACACAGCCCAATGCGCGTTCGTTGGTGGCCACATGGTACCAAAGCATCGGTATGGCGTATACAGCGTACTGATACGTCACTGTTCTCTTTCGTGTATGCGCAGTCCTGCATCATGTGCAACTACCCAACCTACCTGTGCATATCCCTTCAAAAGTCTCGTTGTTATCACAATAGTGGGTTGAGAAGCTGCCTTTGATGCTGCTTTCAGTAGATCTACCATGATGTTACATTTCGCCGGATAACCGGTGTCTTATGACCGCAAATGATGTTATCTAAAAGTACGTTTCTGAAGTGGTGGTATTCAGTGAAGCAATCCAGAATCAGGCTTGGTTGATTGAATGAGGCACCTAGAAGCTCGGTACAGGCAGACTCTCGCATTTGAAACCCTTCTTTTCCAAATAATAAAGGTTGGACCGAAGTCATTTATGATAAAGAATGTAGCTGTATTACAGTTTGTGAGTACGATTACAGCCCGTAACAGGTTTCGAACTGCGGGTCGGGATTCGCCTGTGATTTCACAGTTTAAGAATGACGTGGTAGGCTGGCTGCAGAGAAATGACTCTTTTTGAGAAGATGGTCAGTTGCAGTTGCAGCTACTCATTCACATTGAGAATACTTATCAATTGTATCATTATTAACAGCAATACACAATTTCAGTTACCAGATGGATCGCTTCCATACAGCTACAACGACCAAAGCAGTCAGAAACAACAGCAGAGAGAGAAGGGTGACCTAGTGCAAAGTCCAGTCACACTAAGCAAACATACAGGGTGAACGTGTCTGCATCTTATTAACAACGCAGGGTCACAATCGTTTGGTAATCGTGCGAAACTAGAGGTTATTGATAAACTAGTTGCTAAGGTTTTCTGATTTATTGCGCCATAATCAGCTGTAATCCCGCAGCTAACTATTCAACAGATACATCTTATCAGGTACTGCGCCAAGTGAATGATAGCAATCGTCCTACTGGCAACGGCTGCTGTCTATCCATGTAAGTACGCCAGCCATTGATGGAACAATTAAATCGTTTGTAACTAGGGCCTAGGTCAAAGTACTAGATTTGCTCTTCCTTGTGAAAACAAAATCCTAGCTAGAGTTTGAGTGCTCAGATTTTATTCTAGATGAGGCTAAAACCATCTTACTTTTAAGTTACGGTTGGTACCCTATTTGCAGCAGACACCCTAAAGGCAAGCTGAATTCACGGGACTCAGAGTGAACCATATAACTTATGAAATTGAGGATGGGACCCGTCGGCTTAAAGATATTGCCACTTACTTCATATTATTTGAATAAGTGTTCCAAGGTACCCAAGCAGAAGAAGTGTTTAGGCTCGTACCCAACTATGATAGTCAGGTTACAGCATCAGTTCAGCAAATAAGACGTTAACCAACGTAGTTACTGGCTTGAGCCACTTACGCATGCAAACCGTCTACAGAAGAAATAATTGTTATTTGTCAGCTGTGGGATGAAGTAAGGCTCGAGGGAAATAAGTTTACTGGCCTTGCATTTAGTTGCTTCTTGTCCGCCTCACCTTCTAGGCCGGAGTCCATTATACCAAAAATATGCATTGGCCAAGATTCTGCAAGACGTGTCGTCTAATCGGCACCGTTGGATAATTTGCATGCTTTCTTCGTCGGGCTTCTTGGTAAATATGTGTATGATACTGAGTTTAATAGGGAATTCGTGGCTCGTACCGCATAGTACAGATGCCGTGTTATTTGAATATTTCCTCAGGAAATCCACCTACACAGCTTGTCCCATCTGTACTTCTCTCTTAACTTCTCACTTAGAATCTCAAACGGTTGGCTGATTACAAATAGTACTGGTAATGAAGATCCTGTGTTATCTATGATGAGAATTATGACACCGATTTGCATCAAGGATCCTCGCTCGTATATTATCTTATTTTACGTGTTAGTCAAACTATTGGCAATTTATACTACTGGAAGTTTGCCTGAGGCACCTGATTCCACTTCATTTTCTGATAGGCTGCAGTAGCACGTTATTATATACGCCTTATCGTCCTCATAAATTCCAGTACCATTATCATCCGTCATGCGTTGTCATCGGTTCGGGACCTATGGTGTTTTAAAGTAGTAGGCCAAACCAACTAAAAAATATGATGGATGAGACGATATTGCAACAGCAACAATAACAATTACTACTATTACAGCCAGCTGTTCGCTTTTGCAGTGTTTACTCTTTGCTTATCTATGTTCGTTCGCACGCAGTCTTACTTCTGCCCCGGTTGTAAAGCATTACGTGTATTTTCCCTTTATCTCAGTTGGCGCCACGTCATCATTCTTCACATATTGGTGGTGGGGCTGGGATTACTTTTTGCCATTGCTTATCCATCGATTGGGACTATTATTCGGTAGGTCTCTAGCCCGTTGCTTCCTTGTGTGTCAATGTATTTGCGTAAATTGGCGAAAAATCTCATCAACGTGTTGATCAATTTTCTTTAGCAACTGTGACATTTGATTTGTTGATTTATGATACACTCTGAATCTTGGTGATCAATCTATGAGGCCTCGCGACAGTGACATACTGAATCCTACACAAGTGCATCAACATGTTGAATTCACTTCCTCTCACAAATCGGAGTCGAGCTGGCAATCTGCATTACTTTGTATGACACAGCGGTTTCATTCGTCATACAGATTGGTATCATGCTTTGCTAAGATGAAAGCAAAGGCGGTAAGAACCGAAAATATGGGTAATCGGGTTAACCCTTGGGTGTGTGTGTTTCGCTGGTGCATAGATCAGATGATAGACTTGCTCATCAGAAGTACCGGTAACGAAGCCGGGTATGAAGATGCGGCACTAACTGACATGGACTGCGTATTAAACTATACGGTTAAGAATAGTATTCAGCTGTCAAACCTAGCCTCAGTTAATTTCTTCCACACACCAATAACAGCAACACCCATCAACTATGTCGGAATCGATAGAAAAGGGCTTCCTTGTCCTAGGCTCAATGTCTCATACAAAGCTTTTGTTAGTACTGTGTTTTGTGTATTTCGGTTCATCCTGGAAGAACCCATTCGGCAATTATCCTGTTGAGAAATTTGCCTTTATGTAACTCTGGTACAGTAGACTTCCATTTGTACTGCGGCATGTTCTTGCGTTGGAACAAGGCCTGATAATGCTCCAAAAGCTATTCCATAGAACAACATATCTCATAATAGAGCGACTCGATCTAATAGCTGTCCTATTTCTTCACACAAGCAGTTTACTAGTCGTGTTGCGAAGCCTCCGAGTGCAATTGTGTTGAATTTCTAATGTAGACAGATTGGAGTATGTTTTTGGCTTATGACACTGAACATCAATTTATGCCCGGCGTCGCGCCTTGGGAAACATGGGTCTTCCACTTGATCGTCTTGTTGCAATGCATCCATTGACGTGGCTTTACCACGCTCTACCTATGTCATGCAAGCGCTTGCCACGCTGCGCCTTATTTGCTCGCATGAGATGGAATTGGAAGAAAACGTGTGGAGGTCAGCCAATCACGGCGGCAAATCCTGACATAACTGACCTGTCTCGCAATCGTCGGCCCTCTATCTCCTCCTGGTTGCGGTCCCAAGGATGAGGACTGCCAATGGCCAGATACATTTGGTCATATAGAGCGAAACAGAAAGCAGTGGAAAAGCTGTACAGTTCAGTGCTTTGAAAACTGTGATTAGAGCTATACCAATCAAAATAACAAAAAAAGAAGATAATGATGCTTGAAAAAAGCCCGAAAGCCAAAAATAGTTGTTCACTGTTCTTGACATTTGTGTCCATTTTTAAATGTTTTTCCTCATGGTTTTCGATGGCTCCATGTCTATTTATAAACGGTTGCACATATATGGTTGGCGGCATCCGGTTTCGGATTTATCTGTCAGTGTGGCCAGGTACAAAACGCCTGCGTCTACAGAGGGACCATAAATGACTTGCGCTGCACCACCCAAAGCTCCAAACACACCCCATATCCAGTGTAAATCCGAAGGAATAAAACCGGGAGGAATGTGGATGGGAGCCATGCTTCATCAACCGAGCCGGCCCACACTCATTCACAGGCAAACACAAGCACGCAGTAGTTGGGACTCAACCGCACACAAGGCGGTGGCTGGACCGTAGTCCGCTCCCCACGGAGTGTATGGAACCACCCTTGGAGCCTAATACGGCCACAAGCACTGTGCATTTCGTCACCTGTAGCAACGACCAACTGTTTTCCCGAGCCAGTATGGACGAGGTAGTGGGTAATCGACAAGTAGGCACCTTGTCAATATACACAACAAGTGCAGCCACACCGGGGAATGCATATATATATATATATATATATATATGCCAATCATTTAGCTTTTTCATTGCTGTTCGTATTTTGTACAGTGGTTTAAATAGGTGAAATGTTTTCCAACCACAATTATTTTTAGTTGTGCATGGCTCTGTCAATATCTACTTGAGGAACCATTAACTAAAATATAAGCATGAGCCGAGTGGATGGATGGTTCCACTTGATCGTCAATGTATCCTGTCTATGCATTTCCGAGATGTTTTCTAATTTTGTACACAGTCACCTCAGACTGTTTAACTCTAGCCAAGTATCGACGCAGTCGTCCAAATAGCTCGTTAGCATGTACGTTCGTTGGGTTGCAACAGACCGCTTGACTCTCCCTAATCCTGGGAGGAGTTGTTTCCTGTCCCTCTCCTGCTACTTAGTATTTTTGGCCGAGATCCAGTGACGCCAATTTGAGCGCCACTACTTCAGTTAGTTTGGGATTTCAGCTAGTCATAACTGTTGTAGTTCCTATTGCTAGGTTTCGGTCCCGTTGTTCTTATACTGCGGCCCCCCTATGGCTTAGGTAATTGCTTCTCGTCTCAAGAAACAAGGATTACGAATAGTCTGTAATACATCGAATAAGGAGACAGTCAGGAAAACAGCGTGCGTTTGGAATGGCGACCAGAATTCACCGCCAAACCATCGTGAATATTCCCACATGTATAAACTACACTTGTTAATATTGTAGTGACTTGTTCCCATCGTAATACAGGCACATGCGCTGGCCTCGTGAAGTATGGGACCATCGTTATGCATTGCGAGGTCGCGTCACTTCAAGTACAAAGTCAGCTGAGAGTAACCTTAAAAGCGCTGACGTAGAACGAAACAAACTATGGAGTCTATGTTTATCTGGGTTTAATGGTAGTTTGAGAAGCGTGAATTTTCAAGCTGTATCCAGCGAATGATTTATATTAACTAGTCCCCAAGTGCTTCCATCGCATTTGTGACTCCAAATTGCGCTAATCGGTTTCCAATTACTAATCTTGCAAATGCGGATAGGCAGTTGTTTATTTTATCTCGCACGCCACTATGAGCAATTATGTTGTCATTGAAGCCTTTAGGTTCGATCTCCCTAACTGTCAGTACGGTCTCATCAGGTTTTTAGGCTATCAACTCTACTAAATCAGTGGTAGTATTCGAAACGACTTCACTTTTCGAAGTCAACCCACGATACTGGGCTGTGTAAGCCACATCAGAAGGTACTCCAACCTGGGTGGATCTTGCCTGTAGGATATATTTATATTTAACACTTGCTCAATAAATATTTGGCAGAGTGCCACAACACATGAGTAACAATAACGAAAAAGAGGAA